CTGTGATAAAGATTTTCTTAATCATCATTTTTAGATTAAAGGAGCCTGGAAGAGAATGTTTTGCTGAGTTTAAGAGGTTGGTGTCTATTCAGACTTCAGCTCAAAATGTCACTAATCTCCTGAGGAACTGAATCCGCTCCTGGTCTGAGCTCCATGGTGCTCAGTTTAGTATTCAGTTAGGAATAGGATGGTTTATTTTTTGGCAAGTGTATAACTTATTTTTTCAAGCTTTTTTGATCAAAATGGATTATGATGCAGTCCTTACTAATAATCCTCAGGGTCTGAACTGAGTTATGTTATGGATACTAATATTAAAGATTTATTTCAGAACTGCCATCTAAAAATTACAAAACTTGTCTTGTTGCTGCTTAAATGCTTTCCTCTTACACTGGTGTTTCCTTCCTTTCCTTTTTCTTGTTCCTTCCCTCTTCCTATTTTCCTTTTTCCCGTCTTTCTGCCTTCCCTCTGTCTGTGTGTCTCTCTCCCAGATTTGAAAGATTTTCAGAACAATAAACATAGGTACTTGCTAGCCTCCGAGAATCAACGTCCTGGCAATTTTTCCACAGCCTCCATGGGGTCCCTCACTGCATCTCCATCCTCCTGCTCTCTCAGTAGTCAGGTGGGCTTAACATCTGTGTCCAGTATACAGGAAAGAATCATGTCAACACCTGGAGGAGAAGAGGCAATTGAACGTTTGAAGGTAGGTATCACTGTAGAGTAAGGAGGTTGTTTTGGTCTTTTCCAAGGCTAAATAGCAGTGAACCCGGGAGAACTTTTCCTTCATGAATACATGCAGTATGCTACTGTTTCTGTAGGAAGTTGTCTGAAACCCACTTGCACCTTAAAAAGGGCACTTAACTGCAGTGGGCTAGAAACTGAGTTCATGCACAGCCTTTCCTGTTAGGATTATTTAGGTTTAATTGTAGCCTGGAGCTACAACTAAATTATAAATGAAAATCTTGATTCTTGTTTACAGGTCCTTTGATGCAGTGGTAATTATGGAAAATTTGATCATAAGTATAGACTTCAGGAGACCTGGTCAGCACTAGTGTGGACAAAGGCTGACTAGCAAATGCACTCAGCTTTCAGAAAACCAAATTACCCCAAAGTTGAAAAAAGGAGGAAGAATAATCCTGCCACTGTTGTATTCGCCCAGCCCCCACAGATTAAAATGTGAAGCACACAGAATAGCATGCTTTATCCAGACAATAGCAGCCTTGTCCCAATTCTGCATAGAATTGAACCGCATCAAAAGTGCATTACAGTGAAGTATTTCTTAATTTTTATGAAAGCCCCCCCAGTGTCCATGGGTGGATGAGTGGGGAGAGCTGGCTATGTTGAATCTGTGCTTCATTCTCATGTCTTGTCCCTGAGACAGTGCCACAGGGATTGGAATGGGCTGGAACACACACTGCATATCCCTTTCCTTTTGGAAAACCCGCTGTTGCCACGGAAATAACAGTGTGGTCTCTGCAGTTCCTTGGCATCCACTTACTGAATGATGTCTGTAAATCAGACAAAAAAAAAAAATTTTTAGGTGGTTCAAATTAAAGTCTGACTGTGGTTAGATATGAAGTTGTCTTTTCTTCTCAGCTTGTCTTCAAGGCTATTTACCCTTTTAAAAACTAAGGAAGACAAGAGTTTTGAAGTGCTGAGAGTACTTTTTATATCCAAAATTAATTTGAGGTCTAGAGCTGAACACAAACTTTAATTGCTTTGTGTATCATGTAAAGAACTTTGAGAAGAATTGTAAAACAGCTTCTGGGATTTTCACACAGGAATCTGAGAAGATCATTGCAGAGCTGAATGAAACATGGGAAGAGAAGCTGAGGAAAACTGAGGCCATTAGGATGGAAAGGTCAGGAATCAGAAGTGCTGTAGATGTGAATGGTCTCTAGAAAACGGAGAAGTGTGGAAAATGGAGAATGTTACTCTGTTCAAAAGCAATGGAACAGCAGAATAGCGCTTAGTGGTGTATTATTGCTCGGGGGCAATGCTGAGAGAAAGACGTATTCTTTCCTATATTTCCTACAGTTAAAGTGTTTACCCTTGTAATTCAGGTAAGGTTCTAAGCCGCTATATTGGCTTCTGCTGTGGAGCAGCATGGAGTCCCGTTCTCTTTCTTCCTTCTTCCATCATTCTCTTATATTCCAAAAATTCTGGCCCTAAAGCTAAGCAGAAAAGATTGGGTTTAGTACTGGAGTATCTAAAATTATGAAACAGGTCCAGCTTTCCAGCTTTGGTTTGAATTGTGTCTTAGAGCAAAAAGACAGATACTTAATAATTGCCAGAAAGTGGGTGCAACCAAACAGAGCATTACTTATTAGAATATTAAAAGCTTACAAAATGTATAAGGGGGACATCTTTGCCTGGAAACAGTGTGACTGAGCAGTCCATAAAATCATGAGAGGTATATGAAGCAAGTGGATAGAGGTTGATTATTCACTGACAGAGCTAAGGGACTTTAAGGCTAACAGGTGATTTGAAACAAATAGGAAGTTCTCACAATACATAGGTAAGCTGTGGAAGTCTTTACTGCATGATGTTGATGATGCTAGGAGTTGAATTTAAAAAAAAGATGACAAAACCTCAAAAAACAACAACAAAACCACTTTGGATATCTGTTTAAAAGAAATGCCACCATTAATTCTGGAAGTTCCTTAGGAAGAAATTGGGAGACTGTGAGAATACTTTGGGGAAAATATCACAGTGTTTGCCATGTTCTTATTCTTCTGTGTTGGTGTCACTGTTGTGCTTTGTCAAAGCCAAGAATACTGTGTTACATGAACAGTTTGACCCGATACAATCCTTTTTATGTCTTAAGAAGGAGAGAGTACTTTCTATATTAGATCAGGAAGAGCCAGTTAAGTCTCTGTAAATTAATGAATAGTGGTAGCTCCTTTTACCTAAATTAAATATTTAAATTTAGAACAGACTTTAACCTTCCTTAAAGAAGCAATGAATGTAATGTCCTAAAATGTACTTATCTTGTGATATGTTACTGCACTAAAATGCTGTTAAATCTCTGTAAAATTTTTGCTGTTGCTGTTCTGCAGGCCTATAAACCCTAGGACTAAAGCTTAGAAACTTGCCCTATTGTGTTATGAGGTGGTGACAGTCCTGGCTGTATGGTCAGTGGATAGGCAGGTTGAAAGTCTGATATATTTCGTTATTGGCTTTCATTAGACCTTATTTTGTCTAAGAAGCCTAAAATATGGTAAATATCTTGCTTTTCTCTCTCAGGGAGGCATTGTTGGCGGAAATGGGAGTTGCCATTCGGGAAGATGGAGGAACACTGGGAGTCTTCTCACCTAAAAAGGTAGAGAAAATTGATAACTATTGCATCGTGTCTCCAAAAGGTTGATCAGCCTGGGAGGGGAGAGGGTGATGAGGGAGCTACCATTCACAGAAGGGCTTGTATTCATGTAAGATACAGAAGGACATAAGTGAGGTTTGGACCCTTAGTAGTAAGTTCCTTGTACAGTATCTTTTTAGAAATAGCTTTAGTGTTAGAATCTATCAAAACATTCTACATCTAAGGATTATTTTGCCCGTAATAATGAAGTTGGATGCTGTTCCTCGTGCAAGTGATGCAACATAGTACTTAGTGCTTTTAGGGGGCTGCGGAAAGAATTGCCTGTGGTAACTTCCATTGGTCGTTAAAGTAGGGAAGCATGTGCTAGCCTAATACAATGATGAAATAGGAGCAGCATGAAAAGTTCATGGGGAGACTTCTGATATCAAAAAATGGTTGAACTTTTTTGCACCTTCCTTTAGAAAAATCTGTGCTGCAAGGAGAAGTGTTTGCAGCTCCTTGCATATTTGTTGATTCGGTAGCAACTCAGAAATGCTGCCTCTTAGATTGTTGTTGCCATTTTCTGCAGTAGCTGTGTGTGACCTTCATGTACTCTACCTATTCTTCTTTGAGATACCCAGAAAAGTTTGAAGTCTTGTTTAGGTGCTCTTCCTTGAATTTGTTTGTTAATCCTTTTTCCCCTTGGAAAAAGGGATTGTAATCTAATGAACCACTGAACATAGGGGATGCAGGGGAATAATTCTTTCAGTATGTGTCAATAGTTCTATTTTCTGAAATTTGAAAGAAGCAGAACTGTGCAGGAAAAGAGCATAAATCAATGGTATAAATATAAAATGATCATGTTAGTAAAGAAGCTATCTAGGTAGTTAAAGCAGAATTATTGAAGAGGTACGAGAAAAAGAACGTACTTTCTTGTATCTCAAAAATCTTTGAACAAGGAGCACAGGCTAATATTTTAGCTTGAAACTTGCATGTGCAAGTGTGTAACAAACTTGGTCTAAGGTTAAACAGGGACCTATCTAGAGGCATTGTACAGAAATATAGGACAGCAGAGTTGGTTAAAATGTTTAATCCTTTGCTTAAAGTAGTGTTAGACTGTTATGTTTGGAGTAGGTAGAACTCTGGTTTGCTTTTGGTATCTACTCCAGAAGTGCCTAAGGTTTGTAAAGGCGCTAATTCGTTGAGTGTTCTTTACATTTCTTTATGTTATGGATCCTCCTTTTAGATTTTCCCTCAGAGGCCCTCAGCTCTTTTTGATGACTCTTTTGGTGCATTTTCAGCTGATCAGGTTTGTGTATAAATGCCATCTGGATTAAGTAGTTGCTTTGGTAATAGATAGTATTTATTTTTACCCATATAGGATTTATTAGGAGAAGTAAAACTCCTGACCTAGTCCTGTCTGCTGCTGTTCCTTGCTATCCTTGCACTTCAGTTTCATTAGTTCTCCTTCTAGTAACTGTGGTTGCTGTTGTGAAAATTTAGGAGATGTAGATAGCAAATTTGAAGTTTTTTATAAAGACTTTACACTTCTGAGGTACCGGTATATATCTAATCATATGCTACTAGGGCAACACTGTGTTTTTACCAGCTGAGCTGTGAATTGAGCTCTAAGGTAAATTTTGCCCACTTCATGAATTAAAAGGTGTGTCAGATTGTGCAATCATTGCTGTGTCTACCAGTTTTGCCTTTGATGGCAGGAAACTTCTTGAAATGGATTGTGGAAACTTGATTGATCGTGCTGTTGTCAAAGATGAGAGCAGAGAAAATCCTTCAGCTCATGCTTGAGGAACGCTGTACAGGAGAAAGTTGAAGACATAACTGACAGTGGATGAATAACAGATCTCAGAATGAGGTTTTGCTAGCATCATCTTTCAAGTTGTTGAGCTTTATCTCTTACAAAGCACTCTGCCTGTGAAAGACCCATTCAGACTTTGATTTAACGTAGTAAATGAACTCAGATGCTAAAATATGTATGTATAGGGTACAGCATTATTTTCAAAGTGTCCAAGTGGTACAAGTCATAGTGGTGTTACAGCAGTTGACTATGTCTGGGATTTGGTTTCTCTCCAGTTTTCTTGTGATTTAAGAGCTTTATACAGCTCCAAATGTTGATCTGAATGCAGTGAATAGTGATGATGGCATGGGACAGCTTCAGGTTTTAGGTGCTCCTTATATTTTTAGGGGTGAAAAAGGTGTCTTGTTTCCCCCCCCCCCCCTTTCTGTCTTTATAGTTAAGACTTCCATTGGGCAATTGACAATCAGACTTCTTCATTCAAAGAGAAATTTCATTGTGAACATCTGGTAATTTTTGAGCTTCTGTAAACCGAGTGCTGTTAACGCCTCTCTTAAGTAAACTTTTTTGCAGCTAGAATAAGTTGATGGAAGCAATGTTCCTAAGGAATCTTAGCCAAATTTATTTCCTTTTGCTAAATTTATTCTATTTGAGGGTAACAAAGGGACAAGGGGCTTATTAACAGTTTTATTTCTCTTTTATCATCTTTCTTCTTTAATTCTGTTTAATCATTTTTGCCTTTTCTTTTGTGCTTGTGCTTACTGCTATCTCACTGGCTAGATTTTCACACCAAGGCCTTGTGACTTGTTTGCTGATTCCAATGGGGTTTTTTCACCAAAGAAGGTTGGTTTAGTAACCGTAGTGGATTTAAATTTAGAAGAACTTTAGATGAAGAGGTTTTTAGCTGTTTGTATCAGAGAATGTTGATAGTTTTAGATTTTCTTTTGATATTAACAGACTTTGCCAAATGATCACCTGACCTGTATTGCCCAAGAGAAGCCAAAGTTGATTCCACATCGGTTTCAAAATTTTACTGAAGCAACCTTTTCTGCTGCTGGACTTCCCTTATCAAAGTTTACAGAGACTTTACAAGGAATCTTTTTTTTTTTTTTCCCCCCAGCTAAAGCCTTTATTCCCTCTATTGATAGATAACTAAGCAATCTGAGCTGTATTTCTGCTGTTACTTGGTGATGCTCTTCAGTACTGCAAGAGGTTATATTTGAAAAAATACATTATGGAATAACCTCATACATAGCAAAACTGCTGGATTAATATACATCCTCCACAGCTGTGGGAAGAAGCCTGAAAGTATGTCCTCAGTTCTTAATTAACTTTTCTTTTTTTTCTTTCAGACTCCTCATCTTGTAAACCTTAATGAAGATCCACTCATGTCTGAATGTCTGCTTTACTACATCAAAGATGGTATTACTAGGTGAGGATTGGTGCTAATACGCTCTGAAGTCTGCTTCTTTGCTTGCTTAAATCCCCATGCTGGAGACACCGTAAATAATAATTGTGCCTTGAGCTATTCAACTTGCAGGTACAAATGAAGCATGAGATTGCTGTAGGTGGAAAAAAGTACAGAAATGCATTTTCTTTTAAGTTGATTTTGTGCTTTGAAAGTAACGTGTGCAGTCACTCAGCTTTATAAGAAGTTTGTTAATACACCTGGGCAGTAAAAGAAAGCATGATATCCCTTTTAAGATACAGGAAAACAAAAGTAATAAAACTTACTGAAAATGCCTTTGAGATGTTGATGGGTGGAGAATTGAAAACCATAGTACTTAATAAAAGCAACCGGAATATGGATGAGTGTTCACTTTATTATTTAAATAAACTGTTATCTGTGCTTCTGCACAATTAACGTATTCTGCATTCACATATATGAGATTAAATTTAAATTGCCAGATTTGGAATTTAAAACAGATTTTATTCCAAAACTTGTTGTCAAGACATCTGGAAGAAGAGAGGTGGGTTTTGTTATCTTTGGAGCACTAAGCCACGTTTGGTTGCTTAGTTTGTATATTCCTGGGGAACAAATGGAGAAGAGTACACAAACAGGTGCTGTTGTATGGTACTACTCTAATATGCCTTGGACCTACTGAAAAGAATATCAAACTTGTAGAGAATTCAGCACAGAATGATGAGAATAGCTTAGGGCTTAAGAAATCATAAGTTTTGAGCCTAGCTAGCTGACATCAGAAATGTGTGGAGTAATACGTAGAACAAGAAGTTCATAAACATTAAGATTGAAAATTAAGTTGTCCGTATCTAGAATTGCTCAAATATTTGAGTCTGGAATAGACAGAAATCTTCATGCTCCAGTGATACAGCCAACCTCTCACTGTCTGGAAGCTGGGTGAAACTGCTTGTAGAATCACATTATTCAGCAAGAGTCTCCTGAGCCATTTTTGCTTCTTTGTTAAAGTGCAGATGGTGATTATTGGAAGGGATGATCACTGTATGCCAGCTGAAATGCACCACTGGAAGTTCCTGTCACTTTTTTTTTTTCCTTCTGCATTCCTTTGCTGAAGGGAGAAGGGGGTGCACAAGAGGGAAGGAAACACATTAAATCCAGAGGTGTTTAACATTTCAATTCTCTCTTTAAATTACATGTTCTAAGAGAGAGAAAACTTCTCTTTTGTTTTGTCAAGCTGTTATCCTCCAATTCATGGTAAATCTCATCTGCAACGCTGAGTTAAGTGCTAGTTCAAACCTTTAAACTTGAAGGATAGTCTTAATAGTTCAGACCTTTTTCCTGGATATTTCTGGGATGTATTGTCCTACACAGAGTTGTAGAAAATGTCTGATTTGCTCTTGAAATATCTTCTGTTGGACCCAGGGTTGGCCAAGCTGATGCTGAGCGAAGGCAAGATATTGTATTGAGTGGGGCTCATATCAAAGAAGAACACTGTATCTTTCGAAGTGAGAGGAACAACAATGGTGAAGGTAAAAAAAACTACTTCTCCTAGCAAAGTGTTGCTGAATCTTGCACTCCTCACTTGATAGTTGGCTAGGGAATACTGGTATTTGAAAGTTTCTCTTACCTCAAGAAAACCATCGGCTTTGACTCGCTGTTTTCTTGAGTCTTAGGGGAAGAAAATAAAATTTGTTTAAGTGATAATAGCTTCAAATTGCAGGCTGCAGTCAGTATAAGAGTTAAGTTGTGATCTTGGTTAACTATAAACATGAAAATTCAAACAGAAAAAAATAATAATAATTTCTGACTGCAATATGGAGATGTCAGTAGTATTGATTTTCTGATGGGGCTTTATTTCTTTTTTAACCAGCATGGTATCAAGGAATGACTCACTTGTATCTTTTTCTATGATGTTAGTAGGAAGATAGGCAGAAAATGAGAGGCCTCTAGGGTTTGCACACTTCTGTTTCTATACAATGCTCTCTAAAGTCTCATTCGTCAATTTTGTTTTCGTTCATAGTTATTGTTACTTTGGAGCCTTGTGAACGATCAGAAACTTATGTTAATGGCAAGAGGGTTGTACAGCCTGTGCAGTTGCGCTCAGGTAAGAACTGTTAGAACGCATTTTTTTGTAGACTCTCCATCTAAGAATTGTCCATATGTGACATTTGCATCATACATAGAGAATGCTGGGCACTGTTAAAGGACAGCAGCGTTACCTTTTTGGAGTGTAGCTTTTAAACAGAAGTTGGTACCATTCTTCTCTTGGCAGCAGTTCGTTTTCTTTCATTCCTTGCTGCACTAGCTGTAAGTGTACTTAAATATTCACTGCCACGCAGTATCCTGCTTGTCCTTCTGCTTACCCTGATATTATTCAAATACGTTCTTGCCCAAGCCTATTGCCCTTGGCAGTCTCAGTGAGACAGAGCAGACAGACTGCCAGTTGCTGATGGAAAATTCCCAGTTTCCTGGCAAAGGTAAGATACGACCCTCTGCAGGAGTACAAGAGCTTCTCTTTGCTCTCATTAGATTTCCCACTCAGTCCCCTACATTCCTTTAGAAAGGCACATCAGGGAAGAATTAGAGAGGAGGGAGTGACTTCCCTAAATTATGGGTTTTAACCTATCTCTTTAAAGCTGTGATGCTTTCTGTGTCCCTCCCCTGTTTTTCCACTATTAAAAAAAAATACAACCAACAAGAAACAAACAAAAAAACCGCACCTCAGAATTATTTGTACTAAGTTATAAGTGAGTATTTTCATGGAACCAAGTGTACTGACTTCAGCATAAGACTGGACAATGAAGGAAGAACAGTTTTTGCTGTTCTGTGCCTGTGTATGGCTCATATCGAATACCATGACGGTATCATTTAGTAATTAATTTCTTTAAAAAAAAAAAAAGTAGATATTTTTCCTTCTGCATCCAGATAATTGAGTTACTAGAAGAATATAGACATGGTCTCTGATGTCTTTAAGAGCCTGTATTTTAGTAATACATTGATAAGGACAATTTTGGTTACTTTGGAGGTCTATTTACTAGAATGCCTTTTTAAATTTTTAACTACATTAATATGTTCTCTGGAAGAGCAGAAGCATTTTACTGTCTTCCATCAAGCACATGTCTCAGGCTTTGTGGATGTCTCATATCTCCAGGATTTAGCCGAAAAACTTAACAATATTAGATTTCTTCAGCTTTTTTTTTCTCTTTTCTTCTTTTTTTTTCTCAGTAAAAGAAGCTGTAAATCCTTCCATAAATCCCAATGATTAGGACTCCAATAAAATGTAAACCACATTTTAAAAAACATGTAAACCACATTTTAAAGAAAAGTAAGCACCATGCATTCCAGTGTTTGAAGTTAGGCTTTTCCAAGCTGAAAATTCTGCTGAAGTGGCTTTTGCCCATGTTTTGGCACTGTCGCTGGAGCAGAGGAATGGGATTTAGGGATGTGTTTTATTTACTGCAACTGTTGGTCAGTCTCCAAGTTTGTCTTTTAATTTTTGATAAACTCTGCTGGGATATTAGATTGGACCCCTGAGGGTGGTGATGTCCTCTGAGCACTGCTTCTGTACAAACCAGGCATTCTTTTTTTTTTTTCTTGTCACCTAGATGACTGTATACAGAAATCCTTATAGGGCAATCTTTAATCTTTTCTTATGCTGTCACCCAACAGGATAAATGGGATGAATTGTCCAGTGATGTTTTTCAACAGTTTTGGAATCCTTGCCTGAAAGAGTTAACTTCTGTCCCTATTTTTAGGAAATCGTATCATCATGGGTAAAAATCATGTCTTCAGATTCAACCATCCAGAGCAAGCACGAGCAGAAAGAGAGAAAACACCGTCAGCTGAGACTCCCTCTGAGCCAGTTGACTGGACATTTGCTCAGAGGGAGCTTCTGGAGAAGCAGGGCATTGACATGAAGCAGGAGATGGAGAAAAGGTAAAAAAATAACTCAAAATTTCTACCTGAAACAAGGAGGAGTCAGCAGTAGGTTATTTGGGTGGTGTCCATGCAAAACCTAAACCTAGGTTCTACCACATAGCATCTCTGCTACCTATTGTGAAAGTTCAGAAAGCTTCTTCGTTATTTTACTTAAGTGTATCAGAGCTCTAGCTCTATTAAAAATCACAGGTAAGCACCTGCCACTAACCCTGTAGACCTTTTGGTGAAGGACTGCACTGCAATGTATAGGAAGTTTCACTTCTATAGTACTATAATAGGCAAATAACAGTTCCTTTTAAGTGGAATGACTTTTACTCTTGTCACTGTAATTCAGTGGGCTGTGCGTGTAGAGTAATACCAACATGAAAATAATGACCTCTTTGGCTACTTCTGTTCTTTTGTTTGTCTTCAGATTACAAGAAATGGAGATTTTGTATAAGAAGGAGAAGGAGGAAGCTGATCTCTTGTTGGAGCAGCAACGGCTGGTATGTGTCCTTACTTCAGATTAATTCTACCTTTGGCAAATAGTAATTCCTGTCCTTGCTTATCTGAAAGTTTAGGAAACCTGCTTGGGTTGTCTGCACAATGCAGTTCTCCCTTTGCTTTCAAATACTTTGTGTCTACAGTAAGTTATTATCAGTGTGAGTGAGCTCCTTCATGTTAATTCAGAGATTGTAATTGACAATGAAGTGGCTTTAATCAGTTCTTGTTGGGACAGGTTGGATTTCTTGCAACTTAACCTGAAAGAAGGGCATTTCTATGCTCTGTTTTTTGAATTTCCGTTTCAGTAGTCTAAACAGCTCCTTCTTGGGATGTTTGCCTTTATTATTGTCTTGGATCACCAGAACATACTAATTTTGTGCTGCCAAAGAGATTCCTAGAACATTGATACACTAGGTTTATTTTTTTTGAATGATGTCTGAAAATGTTGCTGCATTGTGCATGTTTTAACCCTTCTCCCTCCCCCTGCATGGAGTTCCTTGTAAGGGTCTTAATGGTACACATGCCGATGGTGGGGTTATGACTAGGGAGCAGCGTGCAAAGGGAATGTTAACTCATTCAGAACAATTGGAATTCCACCATTCCACCTATTTCTTAAATAGAAAGTCTGATAAATTACGTCTGATATAGGAAGACTTCAGTCTTCTCACAACAAGTATCTTCTGAAGTGCATTACAAATAGAAATGCATGCAGTCTTCAAGCGCCCTGTGAATTTTAAGAGCAAGCCCCAGCCCAGAAATGAAATCCAGATTTCCTTAAGAAACCTGAGTCTCCTGATTCTGCTTTAACTACATTGGGTTGTCTTTTAGCCAGAATGCAAATGTAGTTGTGCCTGAATTCTAATGAAAATTCCGAAATCACTATTCATTTGTTTGTAGTATTAGTTTGAGACCACTGAAAACTGTGGGTTAAATGCATGCTGGGTTAACTGTAAAGCTCTTCCCCTTCTCCCACAAGCAGAATGGAGCAGAGTACCGTGGCTTCCATAGGTAGAAGCTACCTCATTTTTTAAATTTATATTATACACTTAAAGACTTCTGCATCACTAATTATTTCATCACAAGGAACTAATTTCTTGGATGGAGAGAAGTGGTTGCAGACTTCGAACCAAAGGAAGACTTAGTTCAGAACGGAAGTTAAGATGTGACTAATATAATGTTTCATCTCTGCAATTTTATAGTTAAAATTTGTGTAGCTGAAAGTAGTATGACAAAAATCAGTTCAAGGTGAAAAGAAAAATAGTTTGAGTATCGAGTAAGTTTTGGCTATGTGTCAAAGGAGACACAAGTAATGGAATTCCCTCCCTTAAATTTTAGCTGACAGGCATAAGCTAAGCTACCGTATGAATTAAAGATGTGAGAATTGGCTGTCTGGGGAGCTGCTTCAAATAAGGCTGCATTTATAAAAGTGTTGTGAAGGAAATTTGTTTCCCTGTATACTTAAGATTAAGGGAAGGTTCTTTAGATAGTGCGTTACTTAATACTGTAATAAAGTTGCTGATTTCTTTAAATTTGTTTTGGTTTTGCTGATTTCAATTAGCGGACAAAAGTGGAAGACTATCTTATGTGCATTACCAACATAATTCCTGAAAGACACCGTTCCTAGTTGTAAGGGATCATATCAAATGAGATCATTGGTCTGTTAAGCAGTATCCTGCTTATCACAGTGCTTAATAAGAGTATTTCAGATGACAGCAAAACTTTTTGACACATCTCGTCATTTCTGTGTCACTGTATGCAGACTCTGGAATGGACAGGATTAATGCATTCATACAACAGTAGTTGAATAATGATTGGGAAATCTGGGAATGCATTTCAGCTTGTGTACCTTAAAAGTATTTACATTGCTGCGATATCTAGCTGCAATATCAGGTTCTCTAACTTACTGCTATGTAATATTGAAATATATTATTGAAATAGAAATAATATTTTGTTCTAAATTGGAGTATAATCTTGGATATTAGAAGCTGGCTAATCCTGTTTGCCAGATGGTTTTGGTTTTGTGCTGAGATTCCAACCAATTTGGGTATTTATTTGTTAGATGTGCTATACAAAAAAGATAAATAATAGCTCTGGTCCCCCAAAATTTACAACTAATAAATATTTGCCTTGCTAGTATTACTAGGGAATAGAAATAATTTTTCTCCATTTTACAAATTGAATGTGAAAATGTGTTTAACAGGGCTAAAATTATCTTCCTGGTTTTCTCGGTCATAATGCCTTTGCAGTGACCACTTGATATTAGAATGTGGGTATATACCTATATTAATTGGTCTGGTTAACCTCTGAGTGCACATAGGGCAATGACCACATACTGTCTCTTAATCAGCTTTTTATACGCAAGACATGCTTTACCCATAAGTAGTAATATGGTAATTTTGTAACCTATAAGAATAATCCTGTGGAACTTGTGACTTAATGTTTGAGTAGTTTGTGTTTTGCCTTTCTGGATGTAACCTTGAATGTGTAGATTGTACAGTGTCTTCCTCCAGGGCATCTTTTGTTTCCACTGCAATATGCAGTTTGTTAGATGCTGTTTTCTTAGGCCACAAATTTTGTCGGCTGTAAACTCTGAGTTTGTTCTGTTTCTAAACCAGTGTTTTGCTTATATTTTGGCCTAAGCTAGTGCTGTTAAATACTTAAAAACACATAAAGTCACAAAAAGCTCAAATAATGTGAATCTTAGGCTATGGAGCTTGTTGACCATAGGGCAGAACAGAACTTCTTTTACTCCCTTTCATCATTCCCAAAAGAAATTACATTGTATTCCCCATTCTTCGTGGTCTTCTACCCGAAGTCTTAAGTCCAGGAACCTGTGGTTCTGAGTCAGTGACCTGGGTTTCCTTTGATTTTAGAATAACTGGCTATTATTGTTCCTGATTTCTCATGTATTATAATTCTCTGTGAAAAATAGGGATGTTAGATACAGGTTCGTTAAAGAATGACTGCTGTGTTTTATTGAAGATGTTTGGATCACAATAGTACATAGGACTTTTTGTTTATTAAAGAGATGTCTTAAATTAATAATCCTTTAAAGAAAAGTAGTCTGACTTTAATTCCTGGTTGCAGTAAGCAATAATGGATATCCTTAACTTCTGGTGGCAGTATACCTGAACAGACATTCCTAGCATACGGAAACCTGAAGCATTGCTCATTAAAAATCATTTAGCAAAAGGTGGAAAACTTGTAATGAAGAAGCAAAACATACATAACTCTTAGCAAGTGTGTGGAAGCTCTAGGGTTTGAGAAGAGGACAAATCAAGGATATCAAATAGAGAATTTGTATTAAAACAATTTAAAAAAAAGTCATTACTGCTACATTCTTCTGAAACTCATTCTTCGGACAGACAAGACTGTTAATGTTTTTTTTTTCTTTAAACTAAGCAACAAGGTGACAAATGGGAAAAAAAAACCAAAAACCACAACCCACCTCTGAAACTCTGATTCTGGATATCCTTTTAGCTTGTAGCAAGTCTTGGAGTATGAACCACTGTCTTCACCTGTCATAGTGGCACTTACAGTCCTTTTAACATTGAACCTTTCGGCTGCTTCTGTTTCATTTTTTCTTATCATCTAACACTTCTCTGGCTGCTGTTGTAGTGAAGTGGATTCTAAACTTGAGCATCCCTGCAACCACGTGCAAACCACGTTACTAACCAGTGTTAACCCGACTTACTCTGGCTGCTCATGACATCTTCTATGATGGCTGTTGTGTTCACCTACCTGGGGAGGATTTGCTGAAAGAAGCAACAGCAGTCACCAAGGCAAATGTGTGTGGCGGGAATTTGCATGTCTTTGTAGCATGTGTGAAGTGCAGTTTACACTTGGTTTTTAACTTTTTTAATCAAGAACTTGGTTTTAGTTGATCTATTTAAAGATTTTGGAAGGGATTGGGAGGGAAGAGTTTAGATTATCTGCTATTTTGAGGTGACAAGACTTAAATATAATGTTAATCTTAATTTAGTGACGATCTCCAATTTTGGCAGTCCATGACTCTTGAAGATACATTTTAATGTCCTAACATTCAGTCTTCAGGGACTTCCTTATCACTTGTTCTATTTTGATTTTTGATTTAGTTTTCTTTGCCTGCTACTTCTTGTTTAGCTTTTCCATTTTCTTACAATTTTAATTTTGGTTATTTTGGGGCCACTTCTTGATTTTTGTTTTTCCAAAGGATGCAGACTCTGATAGTGGGGATGATTCGGACAAGAGATCGTGTGAGGAGAGTTGGAGACTGATCACTTCCCTGAGAGAGAAGCTGCCCCCCAGCAAGCTCCAAACCATTGTAAAAAAGTGTGGCCTCCCCAGCAGTGGGAAGAAACGAGAGCCTATTAAAATGTACCAGATACCCCAACGTCGACGCCTTAGCAAAGACTCCAAATGGGTTACCATCTCAGACTTAAAGATTCAGGCTGTGAAAGAGATATGCTATGAGGTAGCACTCAATGACTTCAGGCACACTAGGCAGGAGATTGAGGCTCTGGCCATTGTTAAAATGAAAGAGCTTTGTGCCATGTATGGGAAAAAAGATCCAAATGAGCGTGAATCATGGCGAGCTGTTGCTCGTGATGTCTGGGATACAGTAGGAGTTGGAGATGAGAAAATTGAAGATGTTATGGCTAATGGTAAAGGAGTAACTGATGTGGATGACCTTAAAGTGCATATAGACAAATTGGAAGATATTTTGCAAGAAGTGAAGAAGCAGAACAACATGAAGGATGAAGAGATAAAAGTTCTTAGAAATAAGATGCTAAAAATGGAGAAGGTTTTACCTCTGATAGGGTCTCCAGAGAAAGCTCAGACAACCGTAGCTAATGCTAAGTCTCCAAACTCTGCTGGTGCGGTGGATGTGGATAAGAAGCCCGTGGATGACTTAAAAAGAAGCGAGAATGATGATCTTGCTAAAGAGGAGCGTGTTTCTCAGTTAATGGCAGGTGATCCAGCTTTCAGACGTGGGCGATTACGTTGGATGAGGCAAGAACAGATTCGATTTAAAAATCTGCAGCAGCAGGAAATAGCAAAACAGCTTCGTCGACAAAATATGCCTCACCGATTTATTCCGCCTGAAAATCGCAAGCCCCGCTTTCCTTTCAAAAGCAATCCCAAACATAGGAACTCATGGAGTCCAGGCACCCACATAATTATCACAGAGGATGAAGTTATAGAGGTTAGAATTCCAAAAGAAGATGATAAGAACAAAGATGAAAACAAAGAAAAAGAAAGTAGAGCTGCTTCTAAAGACCCTCAGCAGCTGTGGAATCTTTATGGCCCCCAGAGGAATCAAGATAATATCCAAATTAACAGGCAGCAGTTAAACACACAGTCACAGCCTAGCAGTCAGCAGCAGCCATCGCCTCAGTTGCGCTGGAGAAGCAATTCTCTCAATAATGGCTCTCAGAAAAGCTTGCGGCGTCAGACATCGGGCTCATCTGAATCATTGCACTCATACAGCGGGCAGCAGAATCCAGACCTGCAGACTTTCCAGCAAAAACGTCACATCCACCAGCACCGACAACCTTACTGCAATCACAACAGTGGAGGCAGTGCAGAAGGCAATACAGCTAACTTCCACCCAAAACAGACTGACCGCCTTAACCACTATAACCAGTTTGTGACGCCCCCACGGATGAGGCGCCAATTCTCAGCACCTAACCTCAAAGCGGGCAGAGAAACTACAGTATGATTAGTTGGCCAAGAGTAGTCTGGGGGAGGAGGGAAGCAGGGGCAATTCTGGCTCATTAAGAAACAGCCAGGATTGGCTTTGCTTGTGTCTTGGGTTTTGTTTGGCCAGGTAGAACTTGAGTAATTCGACATACAAACACAAGGCACTGGCCCTTCAGCCCATTCAGTTTGCATGTGACTTTTGTTGCAGTTTTAACAACATTGATTGGAAGAACATTCTGAAAAATTGTAAGAACTTTTTTCATAGACTAGAAGACTTGGAGGGAGGAACGTGGAGGGGAGAACTTCCCTGCTAGCTCATTTACCGTTTTTTTTTTTTGTGTGTGTGCGTGTCTTGGAGTATTTTTCTAATGCTGAAAATATTGTCTGGAACTTACAAAGTGCTACCTTCCTCCTGTGTTTTATGTAGACAATCAAAAGAGGAATTTAGTTTATAGCATTGAATGTTTCTTGTGACCTTTTTCTTACAATAAGGAAACTGACCATCTGTTTTTAAATTGATCTGGCTCTTCAGAACAGTATTTTCCACTCAACTCAAATTCTTATTAACAATAATCTATAAACCAAAAGTTGTCGGCTGACAAGATATGTGGCTTTTTTATAGAGAAATTAAGAAGAGCTATTGGGTCACAACAGTCCTACTCCCTGAGTAGGAGATGTCTTTTCTCCTCCTGCTTAAGTTCATAGTTATTGGTATGAAATTGCTGTGACAGTTAAACCTGCCTGAATGGAATTTTATGTCAGAATATATATATATTGCTGAAGCAATACTTTGGAAATAAGCTTTTTCTAATTCCTATTGTATCTCTAAATATAATAGTTTTTAATTATTATACAGAGATTGTGGAAAGGAACTAGGATTTTTTGACACTCTGGTGTAGGAAGAAGCCTCAAAAAGCTTACTCTCTTTATTTTGTGTTTTCAGCTTTCTCGGCCATGAGTCTGGGAGATGTTCTTGAAATAGTTATTCTTATGAAGATTTATAGATCACTACTTTGAATTGGCTGAATTCTCCTCAAAGATAGGAGAATTGAACTGTTTCATCTTAATGTGATACCTCATGTTAGTGCCTCTGGTCTTGGATTAAACCCCTGTTTCAAGACTTGTTTAATAAAGGAGAAGGTCATTTTCAGGAGAAAATAAGATTCCTTTTCCTTCTCCCCACACTCAAAATACAAGTTTTAAAATTTTTAATATCTATTTTGATCTGAAGAGGTCTGTACTTGCAGGTGATTTGCCATAAAACAAATACTTGCAATCCCTACTTCAGATTGTTTCAAACAAATTACATAAAAACTATTGATTAAGGAAGAGGCTTTATGAGCTTGGGTTTTTTTCTCAATTGGAGAGTCCCAATTTTAATTGTACACTTTCTTCTTTCTGAGTTTCTTAAAGTGCAAAACAAAATTGCGCTTACTTCTAAAAATCTGTGGACTTTTAAGTATAAGCCAATCTAAAGCTTTGAGGACTTATTTTGCTTTTAAATTTAATTTGAATGCAATTTTAAAACCAAAATTGGCTACTATACCACATTTGGTAAGATAGGTCCACTTTGCAGTGTATCTGTACAGTTAAATGATTTGTGCTGTTTTGCACAAATACCCGAGATTTACTTGAGGTTGCTTATTTTTTGATAAAATATAAGCCCTACTGATAATTGTTACTTCTGCGTGTTTCAGCATAGCTGTAGATGAGTAGGAAGTGCCTCAAGCTTACTTTCCATCTTATCTTTGTTTCCTGTCCTACCTCCCCCCCACTTCAACTGTGTATGGTGTAGCTGCTGGTTGTAACACATGGTAAGTGGCAGCCACGCACCATTTATGTATGGATTAATCAAGTGTCAACTCTTAAGTCTCTGCACATGTGTTACTGATAGGATACTGGCCCTCTGATGTAGGAGATACAAAGTCAGTCCTCTGTCCTAAAAGAATCAGCTGGTCCCATCGCTTGGAACATTTTTTTTTGTTTTACGGCAGGTTTAATTTTGTGTCCAAATACGGCTTTGTAACTTGCATTTGTCTCATGCTTTGGCCTACTTGAACGAAGGAAATAAAGCATCATGTCCAAAAATGTCTTGATTCTTAAAGAAAAGAAGGCTTGTAGATGAGTAATACTTTCTTTGAGCTTGAGTCAGAATTGCAAAATGAGTTTTGGGCTGCAAATAATATTTTGCTGTTGCCTTTATTTTAGAATCCTGTTTTAGTAGTGCATTGCACTTTGTTTTTGTACATGTCAAGAGTTATGAGTTCTTTCATATCCTCAAAACGGCTTGGACTCTCTAAAAAATGCATGGTCAGGAAAATCCTCTCAATTCTGTAGGAATACATGAGCCAAACAGAGTTAGTCTGCATGGGATAGGTCGTGAGAGAAGACCAAACCAATTTTATCTTGTGTCCCAGTTTCGTTGAGGATTGTGGCTGCCTGTGTGAAATCACCATGTGATTGAACATGGAGTGATTTTTGAAGTCCATGCAACTACATGTACTGACATGAGATTAAAAACTCCTGCTACTTGATATTTTAACGCTCGACACTAAAAAGTTTTTGCCAACTTATTTCAGCTTAAAAATCGGAGAAGCAGTATCTGTAAATGCCTGGGTGGTGGTGATGATGATGAACAATAGGTAACCGTCAGGCTGTCTTACCCCACTGTTTTAGTGCAGCACTAGAAAAACAATCCTACTTATTCTGTTGTTGTATGATTTGACAAAAAAGACAAAGGGTAGACAATATCAAAACGGAGCCCAGTCTGCTCAGAGGAAGCAGCTTTTTTCCTGGCTTTTAGGAAGGTATTACAGAAATGAAACTTGGGGGGGCGGGGGGAAGTCATATAAAAATAATTGCCCACTTTAAGAATTGAATATTAATTACAGTGCAGTGCCTCATCTGATAAGGGAAGCAATGTGAGAACTTGTGGATCTCCTTGCACTAATCAGAAATACGCACACCTCTCACTCCAAATTCTGTATTAATGGAGCTACTGAGGAGTAATACAGCTGCTTCCATAGAAGACTCTGTGAAAAGGCTTTCAGGTTAATGGAAATGTGGCATCCATGATGGGAGTGCTGTTTCAGTAAGCTTAATTGCCATTGCTAAGTGCTGATGTGCTGTGTGCTTTGACAGCTGGCTTGTTATCCACCTGTGCCTTAGTGACGATTTCTTAAATAACCTTTATGACTCCCTGGGGACACGTGGATTTTGGGGGGGTGGAGGGAAATGCATGCCGCTAACGCTCCTCTGATTGACTTCAACATCCTTTCTCAAGCAATCTGAATTTAGGGATCTGTCTAATTAGAGGATGCTATTTTTATCAGTACATTTAGCATAGTTTCAATATCTCCCTCACTGTTTGTCCTTTATCCTTTATATGTTGAAATTTGTTCTTTATCCTTTATATGTTAAAACTTGTTCTTTATCCTTTATATGTTGAAATTTGACTCGGATACTTCCCATTGAACCACTTCAGGAGCTGCCACATGAGAAAAATATGCTGTGTATCCATTTGTACTGTAAAGAAAGCAGTGAGCTGCCTTTGAATTAAATGGGATTCTCAGATCTGTCCATTGTTTAAGAAAAAACGAGTTTTGGATTGTCTTAAGAGCAAGCATCTGCCTTGTGAAAAGCAGAACTGGTTTGTATTGTAACAAGTGCTCTTTCAATAAACTATGAAATGCTCTTGTAAGTGTCAGACTTGTCTCAGTGAAATGGAAATGAAACTTGATTGCAGGCTTGTCCTGATTTTATTTTTTGTCTTGGGGTTGGTATTGTTCTAGCAGAGTTAAAAAGGTTTCTTTAATTGTTCCTCAGCCTGATTCTTGTAAGTCTGTCCGCCCTGATTTTTCTGCTGTTAAGTTATGTGAAAAGCAGCCTATGCAAATTTGTGTCTACTGTCACACAGCTTATTTAAAAAAGAAAAAACAAACAACAAAAACAACCACAACAAAAAAACCCACCAACTTTTTATAGCGCAAGGGAATACAAGCCATGCTCCTCTTCAGTGCTGTCCCATTGTACCATCTTGTGTGCTGTATATCTAAATTCTGGAAGAAAATACAGAGCTGGCTGTTCTCTATTTATTTGCTCACTGAAGACAAAAGAAACTGACTTTTTTGTATACCTCAAATACAGGAGGGAATCACATACACTACAGTACCTTTGCAGACATCACATAGATCCAAAGAATCTAAGTTGTTATGGTACAGTGTTCTGCTTTAAAAAGCTGTTCCAGTCTGGTCTTAAAAAGCTTGGCCTAGTCTGAGTGTATGATATTTTTTTTGGTTTTCAGAAAATCTGATTGTTGTGGCTTTAGATATTTCCATGCCCCTAGGCAAAATAAACTTTGCATTCCCTTTCTCCACATTCATGGAATGAATGATATCAACCAGTTTGAAGCTGTACAACAATATGCATTGGGTTCCAGGGAGTCTGGGGCATGGACCTTCAGGGCAGCTTCTAGATGCAGGTTTTTTTCTTTCCTAGCACTTGAGGCACCTTTACATCGGTACTAACAATTATGTGTGTATTATCACTAATCAGATGTAGAAATGTTTATCTGGAGAGCTGACCAAGCTCTCAGCAGAGCAGACCAGCCCCTTTTACAGTGCAGTCAGTGCATCTTCTGTGTGAACCAACTTCAAATTCATCCTTCATCTATTGCTCAGTGCCAATTATTTTTAAATACTACTATAGTATCAAGTGCCAGGAGGCGATCTTAGTCCTGTTTTTCTGCTTAGGGAAATGGTATCTATTTCTTTTTTTCATTATGCGAAAATAAACTTCAATTTTTTTACTTCGTTTTAAAAGTAATGTTTGTTAGCATGGAGTCAATAAAAAGTGTCTGCTTATATTAAACATTTATTTATCTAGGTATTTAAATGTACAGACGATACACTCACTTGGCTCACAAGTCTTAAAATAGAGAAGACAAGAAGCAGGTCTTTGTCTTTGAATGAATTTAATGTGCCTGAGTTTTTCATGCTGGAAGTAGAATTTTCACAGTGGAATGCTCCTGATTTTTGACCATTCCCTCTGCACCTTCTCAATTTCTCCAAAAGAATCTGCTCAAATGTTCTACTTAAACACTACTTGAAGAGCTTTTCATTTCTTAATTTCTACAATCTAGCTGCTCAAAATGACACCCTCAGATTATCTTCTTCAGACTACAGGAAAATAAATTATTTTGCCCTTCCTTGCAAGTAGGAGAAGCTTGTTTCTGTCACTTCGCATCTGACCTGTTTTATCTTGGTTTAAAATGTGATAGCATTATCTACATGGATGGGGGTAAAAGATCAGAGAGAGTGCTTTTATGTTCATGAATTTTTAAGAGTACACTGTTGCTAAAATCTCTATAGATAAGTCTGAAACCTCCTTATCGAGTCTAGAACAATTTTTTGGTGAATCATTAAGAATTTCAGAAGGAATATCAAAAGAAAGGAGATATGTTTGTTTTGTCTGTAGTTCTTTTGCTGCTGGGCTAAGGTTTACTTACACTGTAAGTACGTAGCCATCTTAGAGTGAATGGAGCAGACACAAATGAAGAAGGAGGAGCATTTTGGCCAAATAAAATTTCACAAGGAAATTAGAAAAGTAAAACGCAGCCCTCTTACAAAGGCCATTTATCTTTAATAATTCAATTTTCTCTCCCTAAAGGTCATGGGTATCGAATTCATGGTATTGAAAATTCCGGACTTTCAGGTGGTTGTTCTAAGAGCACAGCTACTGTTTTTTAATGCTACCTCCAGGAAATCTTACTTATAAACTTAAAGGAACATACTTCAGGTTTATCTCCTTTCCATTTGCCATCTAAAGGTCTTTCTGACTGAACTTGTGTTAAATTTGACGCAATCACGTTGTGGCAGTGTTAAGTACTATACTTGCTGTATGGAAACGAAGTAATGTAGCTGTTTAGGTGGGATGCTTAAATAGGATGGGAGGAAAGTGTAAAGCTTTCCTTCTATAGCCGTTAGACTTAGGAATGCATTACTGCAGACAGTGCATTGGAGAAGAATTTTAGGATTTGGAACTGTGGAAGAGAGAAGGTTGGAAAACAAGATGAGTGGCTTCAAGAATTCTCCTTAAGAACTCTGTAACACTCTTAGTGAATTGTTATTGCAACTCTTGTATAAAAATCTTGAGAAGCCAGTTTAATTTGTGTAATATACGCCAAAGGATTATCTTACATAAAATACAGCAGTGAGGTAAGCTCTGAGACCAGGAGCACAGTGACTGTGTCTGTTACAAATTCAAGATACTTAGATTTGTTTTATGAGCAAATAATAAAACGGTCATTAGGTCTCAGCAGCATTTATTTCAAGGCATGAGTATACTGAACAGGAAGAAAATGGTCTTACACCAGAAGGTATTGTTGAAGTGCTCTTTGTGGGGAAACCTCTGCACAGACTTCTCTGCCCACTTGCCAGGGTGGTGGTATTTTTTTCATCATCTGATATATTAAATACACATGAGAGTGATACTTACATCCCAAGAGGAAAATCTAATTGAAAACAAAATGTCTTTTTTTTTTTTTTTTTGCTAAAATCTGAAATGAATTTTTTTGTATCAAAAGGCAAATCAGTGGTGCTGTTAATCCTTCTGTTTGAGAAAATGAAGGTGAATAATCCTCCCCTTTTAAAATCTATTTCTGTACTTTTCTCTATTTCCGCCTCTTTCCTACCTCCCTGAAAGCAGCAAGCAGGTTCCCAAAAATCCCCTTTTCCAGTCTTTAGCAAAAAAAAATTCTAAACCTTTCCCTCTTACAGATACTATGAGCATGTATATCTGATGATTTTAAAAAACAACCCTACCATCTTAATTGTATTGGCCTCTGTCTTTTCTTTTTTCAAGGACAGATTATAGTAAAACAATAGATGTTGGTATGTGACCTCTGAGCATTAATGGAGAAATGTCTTCATGTATTTGTTCTCTGTGTCTGTCACTCCATCTGAGGTGTTAGTCTCTCTTAACTGTTCTCCTTGCTTTTGTCTGTCCTTCTACACGGTATCTCCTCTCTCCCCACAGGACTATGAGAGTAAGCTGCAGGCCTTACAGAAGCAGGTAGAGACACGATCCTTGGCAGCTGAAACAACAGAGGAGGAAGAAGAAGAGGAAGAAGGTGAGTTTGAAGCTAAAAATAATTTGGATGTAGCCAAGCCTAAAGGGACAGTTGCTATAATATCTCTTGCAATAGATAGAAAAGTTGCTTTGGCAAGTGGAGAAACACTTCATAACTTCTTGATCTGTAATCTTCACAGCATAAAGATGTAAAATACCTATTCATAGAATAAGTTCTACATAAACAGTAGATATGCATCCCCAAATTCAATTGATGCACAAACTCGATTAGTTTAACTACAAGCTTTGATTTGATGGCCTTAAATTTGAAGGAATCTGTGTCGTCTTGGCACTAACAGAGTTCGAATGTCTTAAACCAAAATAACACTGTTGCCTTTGTTTCCTTGTTTTGATTTTGAAGTTTCTTTTTTCTTCTTGGTAGGAGTTCCTAGAATTCATGCTGCGACATGTCTGTATAACTCCATTTCTGGACAGTAGATAGAGTTTATTATTCCCATAATACTTGCTTTCATTCCACTATTTCAGCATTTGGCTTTGATAATTGTTAACTAATTTAAAATAATAGGAGTAGAATTTATTTTTTCTTCTCTGTTCCAAATCTCCTTACTTGATCATTATATCTCCAATGCAGTTTTTCCTCACTGAATAATAAAAATGCAGATTTTTATTTTCTGTTCTTCTCTTCCAGAAAAGGTGTTGAGAACTTGATGTCACAGTCAGCAGTAGTATTAGATACTTGGTTTAGAGAAGAAGCCACAGTGTTTTACTTCTCTGTTTCTTTGCTCGTCCTAGTGCCCTGGACACGACATGAGTATGAACTCGCACAATGGGCTTTCAGGAAGTGGAAATTTCACCAGTTTACTTCACTGAGGGACCAACTCTGGGGAAATGCAGTATATCTGAAAGAAGCCAACGCAATCAGTGTAGAGTTAAAGAAAAAGGTAGGGACGTGCAGAGTATCTTTTTGAATTTTCTGACTCATCAATTTTGACTGTATAATTCTGCTTCAAACGCTCAGAACTACTTGTAGTCTTTAAAGTTATATGTCTCTGGCTTATTAGTTTGGGCTTTAAAAGGGTTCAGAAAGCTGTGAGTCTCTGATTCAGACTTCTGGCTGAATGCATATCCCATGCAAATCTGGTTGATATATTCTCCTCTTCTTCATTTCCCTTATGCTGTTCCTGTCAATATCATAAACACATGTACATGCACATCTCCCCAGGGCCCTGCCTTTTCCTTTTTGCTTTTAACTTAATGCAGTCATTCATTTTTCCAAGAGAAGTGGATGCTGTAGGATGTGCTAGGTCTATAGTTTTCCAGACAGCTGTGATGATAAAGGCAAGGTATGCGTACTCAGCTGAAAAATATGTTTTATGACATTTTGAGACAAAACAAAAAAAAAGACGTTAAAAAAACCTGAATCTGTTCACAGAGATGAAAGTCAAACTGGCTTCATACGTTGCCTTAGGTTAGGTCTCTCTCCCCTTTGTGATGCTGGTATCTGACTTCTCAGAACTAAAGTAATTTTTCTTTTTCCATTCAGGTGCAGTTTCAATTTGTCCTGCTGACAGACACCCTCTACTCACCACTGCCACCAGAGCTTTTGCCCACTG